TGCTAAATTGCGGGTTTGAATATTGCAATACTTTCCTATAACAAAATAGACCTGCAGAAAGAAATTACTAATAAAATATCTTACATATGCATAGTGTTATGCTCCATATAGAGATGTTCGTTAGCTTTGATTGTATATCTCACAATTTTGTAATTTATCATTGTTTATCAAACAATGATAAATTGTTTAATAAACAATTTATCATTGTTTATGATAATGATAAATTATCATAAACAATTTATCATTATAAATTGAATATTTATAATGATAAATATACTATATTAATGATATATATACTATATTAACAAAGCCACACAGCTATTAACAAAGCTGTGTGGCTTTGTTAATATTCTGTCCTTGAATGCGGTTAGATGTGCCCTTTTTTTTGTTGAGCACCTGCCCCTTTAGTGGTTTCTGCACGGCCCTGCAGAAATGTCATACATTTTGGATTTCTGACATCAACATTTTGTCTGCAACTCGTCATATCAAGGAGCCATGTAATGTTCGTCATTGTCTTATCGTCATTACAAAAAGGGTTGTCAACAAAATAATTTAGTTACCATCATCCTTAACAAAATTTACACTATATTTGTATTGTTTTAGAAGTGCTCAATCTTCATTTTGGAAATTGTGCACCTGGTGAAGCTCATTTCGAACTTCGTCTTCCCAGGAGTTCTATAAAACCCAAATGAGTACAAATGTTTGCCTTCAACAAAGACCGAGCTAGTTGAGCCCATCTTTCATTTTTGTAGTTGGCTCCTTGTTTTATTGCTTTCTGTGCATGCATATGTATGCATGCACAGAAAGCAATAAAACATAAATGTTTATGTTTATAAATGTTTATGGGGGAATTTGACTGCCAGAAGTTGAGAGCACACATTTTTAGTTTGCAAACAGGATTTTATTTCTTTGTTCTCAACTTGTAATGATTGGAGTCAAAATTTCTGCCCTCTTTCAAGTTTTTGCTGTGCTCTCTCAAATCTTTGTGTATAGGCTCAGATTTTCTCCTTGCTTGCAAAACTTCTCTGCACGGATTAACTCCTACTGCGCAATATAACACTTTCATTATTTTGGCTGAAATATTGCCAGGCAATGGTACTTTTTTGCTTTTAGAGAGAGCAGAAAATAATTCACAAGCAAGCAGAGAGGTTTGCGAACATCCTCTGTAGGCAGTCTTAGAGTGTTGGTGTTACCACCTCATATTTAGCCTTCTACCTTGATTTTGTTTTTTCTTTTAGCGTCTGTCGGGACAGGGCTATTGTTTTTCTGCCTCCCTGCCTCCAATGCTGGCTGCAGCTGCCATCGAGGCTCTGAACATCATGGAGGAGGATCCAGGTAGAAGATTTCATTTAGCTACTTTTCTCTCAGTGCACCATTTATTGATCCCAGGAATAGAGGTTCATGAGAAATATGATTCCAATAAAGTGCTCTGCATTTGTGCTTCCTGTTAATTAAAAAAAATTCAGATGTTATGTTTTAAGCTTTTCTTCTTTGTCTTGTTTTGTAGGTATTTTCATTGTTCTAAGAGAAAAATGCAAACATGTTTATAAAGCTTTACAAGGGTAAGTTTCTCTATTCTATAATACAGTTTTTTTTCCTTGTTTTTGAGTGGCACCAATTTTGAAAGAAATACCTTTAACTCAAAAATTTCTATGTTCTGAATGGCAAATATTTCCAGCATCAAAAGATCACTGGTAAGAATAAACATCTAGGTGATTGCCTGAGTGAAGTTGGCCCCCCCACCTTCTTCAAATCAGACAAAATTGGTGTCAAACGTTTGTGCTGGTTTATGCAGCAAAAATGTTCATTTGTGCCGCTATCATTTTAAAGATATAAAGATGTTTCTAGAGGTCATCAAAGGTCAATCAGCCCCCCCACCTTCTTCAAATCAAACAAAATGGGTGTCAATCATCTCGACTTATGCTGGTTTGTGCAGCAGAACTTTTTGTTTGTGCAGCTTTGGCTTTGAAGATATTAATTAAAGTTTAAAGGTCAAAAGGTCAACCAGCTTCCCCCCCCCCCCTTTCATAAAACCAAACAAAATAGGTGTCAATCAACTCAGCTATGTCTCTGCTGGTTTGTGCAGCAAACATTTTCCTTTGTGCTGCTATCATTCTAAAGATATTAAGAAAAATGTTTCTAGAGGTCATCAAAGGTCAGTCAACATCAGTTCATGCTGGATCTGTGAATTTCATTTGAAATTGTTAAGTGCTAACCTATGAACATGAATAATTTAATTTTAATCTTGATGAAATTCACTTGGAACTAGGTCTTATTTAGAATGGACTGATACAATACCTCCCAAAACACACTCAGTGACCTGTATTTTAGTTTCTGATCACCAGAGGGTGCTATTAGACAAACTGTACTGTTGAAATACGAAAAGTAGGACTAGAGCAAAACATGTGCTAACCATCTAGTCTGCTGTTTCCATCTCAATTTCATGATCGACAGTCATCATCAACACTTATTTTCACGACTTCAAAACAGTGCACAAACTAGTATAAACTAGCACAAACTGTTTATAAAATAACTCATGTTCATTGAACTTTGATGATCTCTAGAAACATTTTTTATCTTTAAAATGATAGCAGCACAAACAAAAAATTTTGCTGCACAAACATTTGACACCAATTTTGTCTGGTTTGAAGAAGGGGGGGGCAACTTCACTCAGGTTTAAGATATTTATATAAAAATTCTCACAGGTAGTTGTGCTAGTAGCTACATTCAGTATTAAATTTAGAAACAAAAATACTCCTTTTGCAGATAACTTCATTAGGAATTAAGCAGGAGTAATGTTCAATTTTGGTTATAGAACACAAAGGTTATACCACATTCTTCACATGTTATATTTGAGCATGCCTCTAAGGCAATTACATCCTTTTAAATGGAAAGCAGACAGTAATAGGTGGCTTATCAATGAGATTTCCTTAATAAAAACCTCATTATGTAATTATGTCATTTGACAGTAAAACACAAGTTTATTGCTGTTACTTTCCTATGCAGTAGTTTTAGTGCAACGTTAAAAATTGCAAAATGCATTAAGCTATGGGGTTATTCTTCTACTTGTCTCCCAGAGAGGTAGACATGGTAAAAACAGAGACTGAAAACTGTAATATGCCTTAGTTTCTACAGTTCAACTATTGTATTTAATGCTCTTTTTGGTTAATGTTTAACAGAATTCCAGGTCTGAAGTTGGTAGGAGAACCATTTGCCCCAGCTCTTCATCTACAACTCGAAAAAAGTTCCGGCTCCAGAAGCTCCGACATGCAGCTGCTCCGCTCCATTGTAGATTATGTAAGTCTTGTGTTTTAGCTATAATCATTTGTGGTGCACTGGATCATATTTGGGACACACACAGTAAGTAGCAATATTACAGAAATGACTGTCACTAATATTGAATTGAAACACATTAAGGGGCGAAGGTGGCTCAGGAGGTAGGAGTTGGTTTCTGGTTGAACTCTTAAGTTCAAGACCCGCTTTGTCTGTCTCAGTCGTTGTCCTTGGCAAGACACGTTTGCGACATTCGTTTGTGAAAAAAAACCTAGGTCTGATGTAGAAGTTAGAAAAGCTGTTTATTTTTCGTAATTGTCCTCTCAATAGCGGAAAAAGCCTCCTCGTCTCTAAACACGGAAATGCTTCAGCTGCAAATAAAACTTCTGACATTAACTTTATCAGGCTGCCCCAGTGCTGGACTAACAGCCTGAGTTGCTGCCACCGACAGATATAAGGAACGTCAGTCTTCATATCAGAAGTCCTGATATAAAGAAACGGTACCGCGATGCACCTCAAAGTCCGGTACCACCTGCTCATTGTTCGCTCTCTGCTTCACTTTAACCTAACGTTACTACTAGGCGGTTCGGACCGCTGCTGACGGGATCTGGGCTGGATGTGAGTGGCTGTCAATAGAAATTACTGCAGAGCCTCAACTGTTAAAGGAAGATTTGGCCCATAGCATTTGGAGTTCACAAAATTTCACATAAACATCAGCGAAAATAATGTACCAATAATTTGGACCACAGCATAAAGCTCAACCCGGTTTCATAATCAAGTAAATCAAAATGTCCCAAAAGCATGGGCAGACTGGCATAAGGGCTACCGGGGGATTCCAGCAGAAATGCTGTGCAGCGACTCGCTCTTCATGTAGGGCCGGGCCGAGGTAATATGGGGCCTTAGACAGAATCATGATTTAGGATTGTAAACCAGATGCCCTAACGCTGAAAACACTTTTGGTGTGAACACACCATAACCAAGTAAACTTCCTAATTAAATCTTAAATGTACTATTTAATTTAAAAAAATTTCTTTGTTGAATGCTTTAAATAAAATTTTATAACATTGTCATTCTCCGTAAATAAATGCTACAGGTTTAGATCTATGGTTTGAGTTACAATTCAACCATTTCTATTGGCCCCTGAATGTCTGGAGGTCCCTACCAGCAGGTACTGAGTTTTCTTTGCCTTGATATATCTTTCTTCCAATTCTAAATCTCAGAGGAGCTTACATTGAAAAATTACGTAGAGTTAACCCCTCTGAGTTTTGTTTTATCTTTAAAGCACTTTGCAGCCAAGTTGTTGTAGAGATTAAGCAAAAGTAGATGCAGAAAGCTTATTTATTAAAATAGCAGCAAATTTGCTTATTTAATAACATACTTCATAACCATTCACCTTCTCTCCGATGGTCTGTTTAACAGTTACAGTCTCAGATCAACACAGACCTCCAGCACTGTCAGTAGCAGAAACAGCAACATTATACCAGTTGAGAAAAATATAGACTACATTTGCTTTGCATTGCCCCCACATGATGACAATGATATAGTATGATCCGATTAAATATTAGAGTCTTGATTAATATGGGTTGTTGCTATGTTGTTGTATGGTGTTTTAAGATCTTGTTCAATGTGCCCCTTTTTAACTTTGAGCCCCTCCAAAGGTCTCTGCACGGCCCTGGCAAGACACTTCACCTGCCTTGTCAGGTGGTGGTGTTCAGAGCGTCCAGAGGTGTGGTTAAATGGCAGCCTAGCTCCTCCGTATTCCCTAGCTATATAGGAGCTTACCACCATCTGGGTATGAATGGGTGATTGACTGAATGTGTGAAGAGCTTTGGGGTCCTGTGGACTAAATAATGGCCATATAGTAGAGATGTGCCGATCAGGTTTTTTCCTGCCGGTTCCGATCACCCATGAGGGCCGATCACAGATACCGATCACATAA